GGTGCATCAAAATAAACGCAATTCATCTTTTGTGCTTAATAACTTTCGAAATACTACTTATGGTTAAACGCTTTTAGGCTTACTTCAAAGCCTGTTCTTTTCTCTTTCAAACAAACTATTATCCTTGTCTCCAATGCCAGTAATAATTGCACAGGAAAAGATTTAGTAAAACCTATCATTTTTAGTTGCTGTTTAATTATGCAAGTTTACTATGTTATTGTTTAGTCGGTTTAAATGTTAGAATTTTCTTCTTTAAACTTTAATGTTGTCGTCACTACATCTGGAAAACCACGTAAGAACAAATTAAAAGTATTTTAAAAGAGACCAGGTTGTTTGAAAATCCTAAACGAATGCTAAAATCGTCAAAACATTCTGGTGTCTGAGCCAGAGTGTCATCGAATTGCGATGTAATGTAAACAGAAATTATAGCAAGTTGATGTCAGTCAGCTTAGATGGTCCAAGCCAAAATTATATCGCATTTGAAGTTTCAAACTGAGTTAAAATAGTGGAAGAAAAGCCGTAATTATACTTATTGTTACAATCCATTTAATAAAATGCAACATTTTTGTTTTAATGAAAAAATCAGTTATTTTCATGAGAACGATTTGTTATTCCATCTCAATTTTTTTAATCTCCAATCGCAATAACGTAAAGTATTATTACCCGCGAACCAATGAGTCAAATTTAAGAAACAACCCACTGTTAGAAAGTTGAATGGCTACGCTTTAAAATGAATGTAAACTTTAACGTTTTCGTCTATTATTTGTTTGGCAATTTACATTTCAGTCGAGGATTGCGCTTTTTTTGATACACCCTGTATATATTGTAATTGAGTTAAATGACGTCACATGGTTTCAAACGAAATGAAATACCTCAAGAATAAACCATGGGAACCAATTTTTTCAAAAAAGTTCCCTCACTGTTTAGGAGTTCTTTCGTTTGAGACCACAAAATTTTCAATGACAGTGTCATTTTAATGACATCATTCGACATAATTTTTAGAGTAAAAAAGAAACCAAAGACAAGGAAGTGAAGGCCATCAAAAAAAATAAAGCGGTAAATATTAGATTGACTTAGTGAAATTTATCATTTACAGACCTGGAGCGAAGGGGATACGGCAAAATGTTACCCGAAGTGATGGTATTTCCCGAGGAGATTTGCCCCAAGGGAAATATCATCACTCGGATCTATAAATGATATATTATAACGAAAATTAAAGCCTCCCAGTTGACAATACAAAACTTACCACACATTGGATACATTCGTTAATACGATGTTTTATTTTTTATGAACGCAAGTATTGGGCAATCAACATTTTTCAAAAAACATTTTCTAAAATTTCATCTTCTATGACATTGACTTAATGGTCCATCATTTGACATGTTATTTAGAATGATAGAGAAACTGACGAGAAAGAATCAAAGATGAAGGAAGAATTGAGAATGGTAAATCCTTGTCCATCATTTCTCTCTATTGTTGACAATCCTTCTATACTACATTGACTTAACTAAATATATGTTTTGACATCTTATTTAGAATGTAAAAGGAACTAAAGAAAAGCAAGTGAAGAAACAGCAAGAATTGAAAATGGTAAATATACTTGTCCATCATCTTTCTCTATTGTTGATAATCCTTCTATAACATTGACTTAAGCCCCGTTTACACTACGCTCGATTTTTGGTACCGTACCACTTTTTTGGTTCTTGGACTACCTAAATAGGTAGTCCAAGAACCAAAAATGTGGTACTGATTTTATCCGTGCCGTACCAAAAATTGAGCGTAGTGTAAACGGGGCTTTAAAGAGATGTTATGACATCTTATTTAGAATGTAAAAGGAACAGAACAAAAGCAAGTGAAAAAACAGGAAGAATTGAAAATGGTAAATATACCTGTCCATCGTTTCTCACCATATGTTGATAATCCTTCTATAACATTGACTTAAAGACATATGTTTTGACATCTTATTTAGAACGACAAAGGAACCGAACACGAACAAGTGAAAAACCAGCAAAAATTGAAAATGGTAAATATTCCTGTCCATCGTTTCTCTCTATATGCATATGTTGACAATTTTTGTATAACATTGACTTAAAGACAGATGTTTTGACATCTTATTTAGAATGACAAAGGAACCGAACACGGACAAGTGAAAAACCAGCAAAAATTGAAAATGGTAAATATTCCTGTCCATCGTTTCTCTCTATATGTTGACAATCCTTCTATAACATTGACTTAAAGACAGATGTTTTGACATCTTATTTAGAATGACAAAGGAACCGAACACGAACAAGTGAAAAACCAGCAAAAATTGAAAATGGTAAATATTCCTGTCCATCGTTTCTCTCTATATGCATATGTTGACAATTCTTGTATAACATTGACTTAAAGACAGATGTTTTGACATCTTATTTAGAATGACAGAGGAACCGAACACGAACAAGTGAAAAACCAGCAAAAATTGAAAATGGTAAATATTCCTGTCCATCGTTTCTCTCTATATGTCGACAATCCTTCTATAACATTGACTTTAAGACAGATGTTTTGACATCTTATTTAGAATGACAAAGGAACCGAACACGAACAAGTGAAAAACCAGCGAAAATTGAAAATGGTAAATATTCCTGTCCATCGTTTCTCTCTATTGTTGACAAATGACAATCCTTCTATAACATTGACTTAAAGACATGTTTTGACATCTTATTTAGAATGTAAAAGGAACAGAACACAAACAAGTAAAAAACCAGCAAAAATTGAAAATGGTAAATATTCCTGTCCATAGGTTCATTCTATATGTCGACAATCCTTCTGTAACATTGACTTAAAGACAGATGTTTTGACATCTTTTGTAGAACAAAATTACGAAAATTTTCTGTCTACTATCAAGGTCCAGTATTTTTTAACTCCTTGGACCAGAATATACGGAACGCCATGTCTGTATATTCTTTCCAATCGAATCTTAAAAAGCATTTAATATTCGATAATTTGTCCGATGATTGTAACTAAATAGTATCTAAATTACATCTAGGTGTGTGGATCTAAGTATCTTCGTTTTGATATTATGGGCATGTAGTAAAACACTGACTACCGGAACACCAGAACACCACCGGAACACCACCGGAACACCACCGGAACACCGGAACACCACCATTTTGTTTGGGGTTAGGGTTTGGGGTTAGGGTTAGGGTTGGGGGTTAGGGTTGGGGTTAGGGTTAGGTGGTGTTCCGGTGTTCCGGTAGTCAGTGTTTTACTACATGCCGATATTAGTTTCCTTATTATATGTCTGCTCACTATTCTACCTCGTATATATTTAGATAACCTATTCTTTAATATTTGACATGAGGTACAGTCTAGCAATTAAATAAGCCTTGGCTTCTAGTTGGACTACCTCGTCACAAGTTTTCATTTCTTGTCTCTTCTATCTTATTACTTTTGTAAATTGTTGTATCAACCAATTGTGGCAAATTAATAAATTCAATTCAATTCATCTTCTTTAGAATGACAAAGGAACCGAACACGATCAAGTGAAAAAACAGCACGAATTCAAAATGGTAAATATCGTTTCTCTCTATTGTTGACAATCCTTCTATAACATTGATACCGTATGCATTCACTTAGGTCTGTTTTATGCGTCGAATTCCGGTCGCGTCGAATGCAATTCAAACAATAAATAATGAAGCTTAATGAGGTTTATCATCTAGCTCATTATCTATTTTCTTAATTGCATTCGACGTGACCAAAATTCGACGTATAAAGCAGGTCTTAATGGAATGAGAAAGGAACCGAAGAATGGACCATTCCCCAATTAACCAACATTTTGATCTCAACAAGTCTAGACAAAATTCAATCATAGCATGAAAGGGCATCACAAAATTAGTAATATTCCAAAGTTTCGTTGCGAAATGTTGTAAAATGCGGATAATATAGCCTTGCGAAGTTTGTAATTTTCAGTCATTTTGTACACAAACGGGAAATGGTTACCACTTGGGAAAATTTCCCGCGCGTAATACAAAATGACTGAAAAATAATACAAATTTCGCAAGGCTATATTATCCGCATTTTACAAACTTTCGCAACGAAACTTTGGAATATTATTAATTTTGTGATGCTCTTTCAAGCTGTGATGAAAATTTTGTCTAGACTTGTTGAGATCAAAATTTTGGTTAATGTGGGATTGGTCCATTTACGTGTGAATACGATCAAATGCGTTTTACATCAAGTATAATAAGTCCACCTAAGTTCATACTTAGTCTACACGGCTAAAAACGCACAGGTTGTTCCAAGTTGATATCGACAGGCGTGAACAATGTTGTGCGGCCAACTATGAACAAGTTGTCAACCATGTTGTTCCAGTTGAACAATGCTGTAACAACATGTTGACAATACTGTTCATAGTGGGCCGCACAACCTTGTTCACGCCTGTTGAGATCATGATCAACCTGGAACAAGTTGCTGATTTTCTCAATTTTTGCCCGTGTGGACTATTTTAACTTTGAAACAATTGTGCTATTACTTTTTTATTAACTGGGTTTATCCTAACCCACCCTGTCAACTCAATCGGAGCCCCAGGAAAAATTCACGACTTTCAGCAGAGCATTGACGGACTCTTTTCACATGAGTGCATAGCCAAAATTGAACCAACCATCTAAGAGCTCCCCTTAGATAGCACTGATAATTAAAAGACAATTATTAAAGCTCCGCATACGACTTTCAAACAGCTCCTTAAACAAAACGACAGAAGGATGGAGAAAAGGGTCACGCAACAGCAAAGAATCAACAATTGGGGTAGAGGTATCCCTAAACATAAAAGAAACGTGAAAACGTTTGGACGAGGAAATTGGGAGGCCGAAATTCGTCGGCATGAAGAGTACATCAAGAAATTTGACCTTTTTAATTATGCAATCATTGAAAATTGGGAAGAGGAAATTCGTCAGCATGAAGAATGCATCAGTAAATCTGACTTCATTAATTATCCAATCACTGAAAATTGGGAAGAGGAAATTCGTCAGCATGAAGAGTACATCAAGAAATTTGACCTCATTAATTGCCCGATCACTGAAAATTGGGAAGAGGAAATTCGTCAGCATGAAGAGTACATCAAGAAATTTGACCTCATTAATTACGCGATCACGGATAATTGGGAAGAGGAAATTCGTCAGCATGAAGAGTACATCAAGAAATTTGACCTCATTAATTACGCAATCACGGATAATTGGGAAGAGGAAATTCGTCAGCATGAATTATGCATCAATTAGAAATTCGACCTCATTAATTCCCAACCGCTGAAAATTTGGAAGACAAAATTCGTCAGCATAAAGAATCGCGATCACGGATAATTGGAAAGAGGAAATTCGTCAGCATAAAGAATGCATCACGAAAATTGTCCTCATTAAATTACCCAATCACTGAAAATTGGGAAGAGGAAATTCGTCAGCATGAAGAACATATTATGAAGAAAAATGTCCTTCATTAAAGGATGTAATATTTTAAGATGGAATTATTATATATATTTTTTTACTATAATATTTTTGCCTGTAATAAAATACAAAACAACACATTTTCTGCTTCTTCGTTTTCTGGGTCATAAAAAGGCAACTGTTATTGTACCCTCAAAATACAAACCCAAAATAACATGTTTTGCGATTAAGGTGGCCCGATACCAATTTCAAGTGCATACTTAAATTGATTTACATACTTGAACATACAGTTTTTTAAGGAACGGAAAAAGGCGTTGTTACACTGTGCAATTTGTCTTGCAATTTTGTTGCGACACACGTTCCGTAAGTCTCGCAATATTTTTGAATGATTGAATGACTTATTAAAATTTCCAAATGGCAGGTGTATGCAGGGCATGGCCAGCGACCGGAAAAATATATATATATATATATATATATATATATATATATATATATATATATATATATATATATATATATATATATATATATATATATATATATATACATATATATATACATATATACATACATATATACATACATATATACATACATATATACATACATATATACATATATATATACATATATATATACATATATAT